ATCTGTGTTTTAGATGGATCAGGAATCAGCTGGTTTTCCCCTGTAATGGGCAGTAAGAGCACCTAGAGCTTCAGAGAGCTTCTGTTCAACCATCTCAAAGCTCCCTGCTTGAGCAGCAATGACAAGATAGTCAGTATTTTAAACTGGATTATATGAGTATACACTATCATATAATCCGAGATAAACAGAAAACCTAAGATCAGATCCTGGGATAAAGGGCCTGTTTGGAAAGGCCCAAAGAGAGAGAATGTGAGCGAGAAAGAGAAGGATTGGGTGTCTGAATGAAAGAGAAAAGAAAACTGTATGAAAGAGTGAATGAGTGTGGGAGAGAGTCTGAGTGGGAGAGAGGGGGGAGTGTATGTGAGTGCAGAGATTGAGAAAGAGAGGGACACTTTGAAATCCTTATACACTGTCTGTATATAATATTTTGCACTTATTTTGGCTGCGTCTGTGGGTTTAAAAGGGTTGACTTTCTTAAAGGACCCTCTAAGGCAGCATTTCTCAACCTGGGGTTCGGGACCCCTAGGGGGGTCATGAGGGGGTATCAGAGGGGTTGCCAAAGATCATCAGAAAACACAGTATTTTCTGTTGGTCATTGGGTTCTATGTGGGAAATTTGGCCCAATTCTATCATTGGTGGGGTCCAGAATGCTCTTTGATTCTAGGAGAACTATAAATCACAGCAACTACAACTCCCAAATGTCAGTCTATTTTCCCCAAACTCCACCAGTGTTCACATTTGAGCATATTGAGTATTTGTGCCAATTTTGGTCCAGGTCCATCATTGTGTGAGTCCACAGTGCTTTCTGGATGTAGGTGAACGACAACTGCAAAACTCAAGGTCAGTGCCCATCAAACCCTCCAGTATTTTCTGTTGGTCAGGGGAATCCTGTTCCAAGTTTGGTTCAATTGCATTATTGGTGGAGTTCAGAATGCTCTTTGATTGTAGGTAAGCTATAAATCCCAGAAACTACAACTCCCAAATGACAAAATCAATCCCCCCCTCCCCCCAATATCAGGTATCAGGTATTTGTGCCAAATTTGGTCCAGTGAATACATCCCACATAGTAGATATTTACATTATGATTCATAACAGTAGCAAAATTAGTTATGAAATAGCAACAAAAATAATGTTATGGTTGTGGGTCACCACAATATGAAGAACTGTATTAAGGGTTTGCAGCATTAGGAAGGTTGAGAGCCACTGCTCAAAGGCCTGTGAACTTGATTACAGTTCAGGAGGGTTGCCTCTACTCCTCAAAATCAATGCAGTTGGAGACCACTTTTGCAGCCACGGTTCTATACTATGGAATCCTGGGAGCCTAAAATCTCTGGAGCCTTTTCTGCTAGTGGAGAGATGTTCAATCAAACGACAACTGCGAGATTTCCACATGGCAGTTAAAGCGCCGTCAAAGTGCATTCATTCTGCGGTGTAGATGCGCTCCTAGGCAGAGTCAATGGGCGAAGGGTTCCTTTGTTTGGGGGGCATCTGGAATTGGCGGGCCAGTCCAGTCTCCTCCTCGGCGAGCCAGGTGCGCATGCGCGTGTGCTGTGCGAATGTGTGTGCGCTTCCTCCCGCCCGCAGCAATCAGCCCCCCCCCCCCCTCCTCCTCCGGAGGCTTTGATTGGAGGCGTTGCCTGATTTGCATTGATGAGGCCGAGGCAGCTGCTGGAGCCGAAAGAGAGAGAGAGAAAGAGAGAGAGAGAGAGAGAGATGCACCTGACGCACAATCAGGGAGGCAGAGAGAGCCCCCGGAGCCTTCTCTCTCTCTCTCTCTCTCTCTCTCTCTCTTTCCCTCCGATTAGAGTCACTCAGGCAAAATGACCCAAATTTGCAGCGAGCACAATTAGCAAGCCCCGATGCATGTTAATTTGGGAGCTGACATTTCCTTGCCTTTTACTTATTAAATATCATCTTTACGCGGTTTACGAGGCGAGCGGGTGAGGAAGACCAGGCAGGCTCCTCCTCCTCCCCCCCCCCCCCCCCCCCCCGCAATCCCCTGACCATGCCGAGGACTCAATTCCTGACTCCGGGTATACTGAGCATTCAGTCCACACGAACGTACATACACACGGCCTCCAACCCGCGTAGCCTCTCCTTGTCTGCAAGGAGCGAGCCAAGAATCGGGCGGGAACCTGGCAGAATTTGCCCCCGCCCCCCGCTTTTGGGGCAAGCAACCCGAGATAGCCACCTCTTTGGCCACAGGGTTCAGGCCAGGGAAGGCGGAGAGCAGGAGCCCATCTCCTGGTGCGAATCGTTTCCCTTCCCCAGAGATGGAGCTGTGCATTGCATAGTACGCACAAGCAGACAGGGCCCCAGAGAGAGAGACAGAGATACATACACAGCCCCATATAGATAGATGATATAGATCATACACAATCATATGTGTGTGTGTGCAGAGAGAGCATATTCAGATGGAGAGAATATACAATTGTGTGTGTGTTTGTGTATGTGTGCATGTGTGTGAGTGCGCGCGCACACACATATATAACCAGATAGATAAACAGATTGAGGCCATACACAGTCATATATCTATATCTATATACACAGATATATATATATATATATAGAGAGAGAGAGAGAGAGTCAGAAATAATATATAGTCATCTATCTATCTATCTATCTATCTATCTATCTATCTATCTATCTATCTATCTATCTATCTATCTATCTATCTATGCACACACATATATAGCCAGATAGATGGAATACACAATCGTGTGTGTGTGTGTGTGTAGCCAGATAGATAAATACATGAGAACATACACTATCTATCTATCTATCTATCTATCTATCTATCTATCTATCTATCTATCTATCTATCTATCTATGCACACACATATATAGCCAGATAGATGGAATACACAATCGTGTGTGTGTGTGTGTGTAGCCAGATAGATAAATACATGAGAACATACACTATCTATCTATCTATCTATCTATCTATCTATCTATCTATCTATCTCTATCTATCTATCTATCTATCTATCTATCTATCTATCTATCTATCTATCTATCTATCTATCTATCTATGCACATACATATATAGCCAAATAGATGGAATACACAATCATGTGTGTGTGTAGAGAGAGAAAGCACACATATATATTCAAATAGATATAATATGAAATCATGTGTGTGTGTGTTTTATATATGTTTGTGTGCACTCACACATATATAGCCAGATAGATAAACAGATTGAGAGCATACACAGTCATATATTTATATCTATATATACACACAGATATATATATATAGTCAGATAGAGATAATACATAGTCATCTCTCTCTCTCTCTGTCTACCTATCTATTTATGCACACACATATATAGCTGGAATACTCAATCGTGTGTATGTGTAGAGAGATCGCACACATATATTCAGATAGATAGAATATGCAATCGTGTGTGTGTGTGTGTGCACGTACACACATATATAGCCAGATAGATAAACAGATTGAGAGGATACACAATCATATGTGTGTGTGTGTGTGTGTGTGTATGTATATGTATACACAGAGAGAGAGAGAGACATATATAGTCAGATAGAGATAATACATAGTCGTCTGTCTATCTATCTATCTATCTATCTATCTATCTATCTATCTATCTATCTATCTATCTATCTATCTATCTATCTATCTATCTATGCACACACATATATAGCCAGATAGATGAAATACACAATCATGTGTGTGTCTGTGTATATATATATAGCCAAATAGATAATAACGTTAGAGCACACACAGTAATTTATCTATATCTATCTATGCACACACATATATAGCCAGATGGATAGAATACAATCGTGTGTGTGTGTGTGTGTACAGCCAGATAGATAAATACTTGAGAGTATACACAGTAATATATATTATTTATATCATCTATATCTATATCCATATCCACACACATATAGTCAGATAGATAAAGATCATACACATACATATATAGTCAGATTGAGATCATACAGTCACATATGTTATATGGACACACACAGATACATGCATATGCATACATACACACACACAGATAGATGCATACACAGTCCCGTATAGATAGGTCATATACAGTCTGTGTGTGTACAGATATGGCCGTGTAGATAGATAATAATAATAATAATAATACACACACACATACACAACCATACACACACATATCCACAGCCTTATATAAAGAGAGAGGGGGGATGCACAGTTTAGAGAGATGCTTAGATAGATTATATACAACCCTATATATACAGATAGATATCTGCCCTATATATAGGGAGAGAGAGAGAGAGAGAAATGCAAACACAGCAATGAAGAGATGATTGGTAGATCATACACAGCTCCAGAGAAAAAGAGGCATAGCCAACCTCATATATATAGGTATATATACCCATATAGATAGATGATAGGCAGATACACACATTCCCTCTAGCCAGATAGATAGATCGATGCATACATATACACACGTCTATACACACAGACATGAACAGCCCCGTCTATCTCTGGGTGCACACAGAGAGGGAGCTGTGCATGCATGTATGAGTATATAGTATACATACATACATGACTGTTCTCTCTCTCCCTAGATGCACACACACTACACCGCCCTATATGTGTGCATGTAAACGTATATACAGTCACAGACATGCACACACAAAATCACAAATAAGGTTAAAGTCAAGGAAGGCAACCAAGGCGTGTTCCCGCTTAGATTGTCTTTAGCGGGGAAAGGTGTTTCCTGTGTATGTGTGTTTTTAAATATTCACTTATGATTTAGGGGAAAGACGGGGGGGGGGGGGGGGGGGAAATATTGCGAAAATTGAATAAGTGATAATTCCAAGCCAAAGGATGCCGTGGAAAAGCGAAAGCTCCCATTGGAGAACAGAAAATTTAATGAGCTTTTAATGGCATGCAATGCTCGGAGTAGTAAATTATTTGTTAGTTGACGATGCAATCAGCATGCTGATTAAGGTGGCTCGGGGTGCCCCCCCCTTCTCCTCGCTGCCCCCCCCCCCCCCTTAAACATTAACTGAATGGAAACGGGTTGTCGTCTTTGTTGCACCGCTTGGGGGGTTTTCGGGAGGCAAATGGACTTTCAGGACAGAGCTTGTCAATAAAGGTGAGTGCACTTCAGGTGTCATTTGAATCTGGCCAGGCAAGGCTTCGGATAAATATTTAAAAGCCTTTGAAATCCACGAGGTTCGTCCTTCTTGGGGGGGAAAAACACCCTGTGCTTAGGCAAGCAGCAGGCCTAGAAAAAAAAAGGCCTTGCAACTAGCTCCTGTCTTTCTTTCGATGTGTATCCATTAATTATTATTATTATTATTATTATTATTATTATTATTATTATTATCTAGTGGGATTCCAATAGTATTTCTAAGGATCTATTTATCATCATCATCATCATCATCATCATCATCATCATCATCATCATCCTTTGGTGGGATCCCAATAGTATTTCTAAGGATCTATTATTATTATTATTATTATTATTATTATTATTATTATTATTCTCTGGTGGGATCCCAATAGTATTTCTAAGGATCTTTTTATCATCATCATCATCATTATTCTCTGGTGGGATCCCAATAGTATTTCTAAGGATCTATTTTATTATTATTATTATTATTATTATTATTATTATTATTATTATTATTATTCTCTGGTGGGATCCAATAGTATTTCTAAGGATTTTCTTCCTCCTCCTCCTCCTCCTCCTCCTCCTCCTCCTCCTCCTCTTCTTCTTCTTATTTAGTATTTCTAAGGATCCCCAAAAGAAGGACGACTTGGGAAGGTTTTTTCTGGGATTGGAAGGAAGGGGTGAAACTTAAATATAAACAGGAAAACGGATTTGAGAAACAAAGGAGGAATTAATATATCGTCGAAGCCTTTTATGGCCGAAATCACTGGGTCGTTGTGTGTTTTCCGGTCTGCATGGCCATGTTCCAGAAGCATTCTCTCCTGACGTTTCGCCTGCATCTATGGCAGGCATCCTCCGAGGTTGTGAGTTCTGTTGGAAACTAGGAAAATGGGGTTTATATAATGTCTGTGGAATGTCCAGGGTGGGAGAAAGAACTCTTGTCTGTTTGAAGTAGGTGTGAATGTTTCAATTGGCCACCTTGATTCTCGTTGAATGGCCTAGCAGTTTCAAGGTGTGGCTTCTTACTGCCTGGGGGAATCCTTTGTTGGGAGGTGAATAGTTAGGATTAGTTGGGAACCTGTCCGATCCTTGAGCAACATTTTGAAGCACAGGGGTGGGAAAGGGCAGTGAAAACCTGATATTCCTGCCTCACCCATCTTCACATCTTCTCTTATTTAGCCGTGGATTTAAAGTGGTTTCAAATGATGCCTGCATGGGGGGTGTGATCTTGTCTTTAATATATATGTATAAATATATCCGATGTAGTCATCGATCTGCCTGCTCGATGGCCGAGATTTGTAGCTGCCAGAAAGAAACTCCTTCCTATCTCTCTCCGCCTTATCCCCCCCCTTTTAAGAAAAGACATAGGGTTTGACAGTTCTGTTAAGGACGCCCCCCCCCCCAAGCCCTCCCTTGCCTAAATCCCCATTGGGTAAGCCTCCCCTGACACTGGTCAGGTACCTTCAAAATCCGATAAATAACCCTCGATGTGTTTTAACTCTTCCTGCCGATGACCCAAGAGGTTAAACGCCTTTGACTGGCATTTGACTCCTGACCCCTTATAAATGTTATCTTATCAGTTCTTACTTGTTAACTTGTATTGGGTGCTTGTCCCCGATGGCTTGGAGATAAAGAGGGTTTTATTATATTTCCTATTGGAACTGAACTGTTGGCTTTGTTTTCGTCCGCAGTGTCAACTCCCGGAGTAACCTTTTCACCTCCCGGTTTTGTTGAATGGGCTCTTTTCAAAACTCGCTCTTTGGCACACACAAAAAAGGAGTTACAGTCCTACTGGTTGCCCCCAGTTTAATTTCAGGGATTTATTTATTTTTTTGGAGCAAGATGAAACTACTTCCCTTTGTGGGATGCATTGACCTAGGTGTCTTCAGTCAACATGAGATTGCTTATTATTATTATTATTATTATTATTATTATTATTATTATTATTATTATTTGGAACATAACAAGATGAGTCCACAGCTGACACAGCAGACAGCAGACCCATTATTATTATTATTATTATTATTATTATTATTATTATTATTATTAACACAACAAGATTAGTACACAGCAAACAAGATCACTCTGCTGACTGTTGTATTGGATCACACTCAGTTCCCAAGTGTCTAGGACTGTGTTGTTGTTGTTGTTGTTGTTGTTGTTGTTATTATTTTCTCTGGTGGGAACCCAATAGTATTTCTGTAAGGGGTCCCAGTAAGAAGTACAACTTGGGAAGGCTTTTTCTGGGATTGGAAGGAAAAGGGTGACCTTAAATGTATTTGCATCCTGTAAACAGGAGAAAGGATTTGAAAAACAAGGAATGAATTAGTTGGGAACCTGACCCAATTATTATTAAGTATGCATTTTGTAAAAAAAATGAGAGTGGTGGAAGCAAATGCTTCCTAACTGTAGAAGGAGATGCACTCCTTCTCAGATTAGTCCTGCTGCCAATGTGTCTCTAAGGAAAGAACCAACCTATACTACTATCCACCTTCCTCTACTACTCTTTTGTTTTCTTTTTTTAAAGAAGGGGAGGTGATGTAATCTGGTTGCTGCAATGTTCCTTTATTGATGGGTCTCTCTCTCTCTTTCCCCCTTCCCCAAAAAGGAAGGCTTTTCCTGTGCACCCTCTTTCCCTGACACTGGGTTGTTTGTCACTCTCAACCCCATACAGAGGCGGGGAGAGAAAACCAACATAATGAATGATGTGTACAGTATGACACCTTTTAATGTACCCTTGTCAATAGACGTTGCATCTATCTATCCTTCCATCAAGGGCTCCAGATCTTTGGGGGGCAGGCAAACTCCTCTGGTTTGCAAATTTCTCAATGCATTGCTCAACAATGCCTTGAAATTAATTTGTCTGTTGAAATTAGGCAGCAGCCACAGAGGGGAGACTGAGAGGCAGCCATCTTGTGGGTGTCATTTAAATCTCTGTAGCTTCACACTCATTCTTTCATTTTTATTTTTTCTCCTTATTTTTTTAAATATATATGTATTATTTGAATAGCTATTTTTATTCAAAAATGAGAATAACAGAAAGGCATACATAACACAAAGAAGCATGATTTGATTATATATAATCCTACAACTATGCACCTACAATTAACTACAAACCTATATCAAAGCACAAACATGAAACACATACACACTAGACTAACAAAGAAGCAAGATTTTATGATATCTAATCCTGCATCTACCTACAACTAACTACAAATCTATATCAAAGCATAAACACAAAGATGAGACACATGCAAACAGATTAACAAAGAAGCATGATTTGATGACATATAATCCCACAACTACACACCTCCAACTAACTACAAACCTGTATCAAAGCACAAACACAAAGATGAGACACAAATTAGACTAACAAAGAAGCATGGTTTTATGATATATAATCCCACAACTACATACCTACAACTAACTATGAACCTATATCAAAGTACAAACACAAACATGAGACACATGCAAACCAGACTAACAAGCATGATTTTATTATACACAATCCCACAACTACACATTTACAACTAACTATGAACCTATATCAAAGTACAAACACAAACATGAGAAACATTCAAACTAGACTAACAAAAGAAGCATGATTTTATGATCTATAATCCCACAACTACACATCTCCAACTAACTTCAAACCTATATCATAGCACAAACACAAACATGAGACACAAACTAGACTAACAAAGAAGCAAGATTTTGTGATATATAATGGTATAACTACACAGTTACATTCTAGCTGCAACAACTAACAATAACCCTGCATTGACGAATAAATACAGGAATAAAACACACCCAAGTTCGCAAAAAAGCAAGAATTTGGGATATGTAATGCTACAACTACACAGCAACATTCTAGCTACTTCAAGTCATTACATGCCTATATCAAAGCACAATGGCAAACATGAAACATACACAAACTAAACTAACAAAGAAACAAGATTTTATAACATATAATTCCACAGCTACATTCTGTCCACTACATCTAGAAACCTACATACATAGAAAAGAATCACATACTTAAACACACAAACCCTAAATTAACAAACTAGGAAGGAAGCAGTTCTCCAAATCTCACTCTCTTGTGCTATTTTTAAAAAATCCTTCTTATTCTACTCCCTTTAAATGGTATAATATAACCCACACTTCTACTACACACTTCTGACATGAAAAAGCCCCTCACACTTCTACTTTGAGTAACATTCTTCTAATTTCATAAATCCCACAGTTGACAATTGCCCCCGTCCTTGCTGTGAGAAGAGAATAAACGAGTCCCAGTCTTTCTTGGAGTTGATCACAGATTTCTCCTTAATCAGCAATGACAGTTTATCCATCTCAACTAAATTTGGAGATCAGCCATTCTCCTTCTTCTTGAGCTGGGATTACTGACTCCTACCATCTCTGAGCATAAATGATTCTTGCTGCAGCTATAATATATTGTGATAATCTTCCAAATTTTATTTCTTAGATGGTTATCCAGCACTATCAACAGATTTTTAAAAAAAATCGTAATTGGCCTTCAAAATATTTATTCATATCAAGTGTTTTCTTGTGCCCTTTCAAGCTTTTTCTTTTATTATTGTTATTGATTACTGAAGGAAATCCTTCTAATTACTCCAAAAGCTGTAATAGCCCTCATTCGTTATATATATAATTCTGTAGTCTGTATACTGCGTGATGCCTGTTGACTGAAAAGCATGTGGAATAAAAATTCCCCAAATCTTTCAGATAGGATTTATCTCAAAGTCTGTACTGGCTTTCAGTTGACTTCTGTTTTGTCTGACATTATTAAATACTTTATTTATAGTTCTAATGACAGAGTCCCTCCTGGGAGATAAAGCAGAATATAAAGAAAGCATATTATTATTATTGTTGTTATTATTATTATTATTATTATTATTATTATTATTATTATTGCAGAGGGGAAAATGGAGAAAAGAAGCTGGACAGGGAAATGATAATAC